GTTAGGAAAACGGCCAGTGAGGACGAGGATCAAGGGCCATTCTTTTGATTTGATGGAGATGCATACAAGAATCGCAAAAAACGTTAACACGTGCATTGTCCGCCGGTGGCGCTGGCAGCGATTATTTTGTGCTATGTCCACTTGCCGAGGGCATATTTCAAGCATAGTCTCTCCAGGACCCGGGTGCCGTGTTTCTAGCAGAACACATTCTACACATGCCCGTTCAGGACCCTGAACAAACTGGTTATCCGGAGAGTGACAGTCCTGTAAAAACTCCCATTTTTGAAATGCGTGAAAGCAACCGCAGTACCAGCCGCCTTCTTTTGCAGAAGGGCAGAGTAATGCGCGCTAATATTGTCACCAGCAATAATACACTTTTACGTTAGCCAGCGCTGGATGCAACAGTTACGGCGGAGCGATAGGTGGTCTTCTCTTAAGGAACCATTCCAGACGATTGTAATTCTTCGCGGTGACCCATGCCATGGCTTGAGGCTCAGCGCTGTTCAAATTCATTGCGGCGGCATTTAAAGGCATTTGACTCCCTTCGCCAGGTCAGATGGAGTGGGTGATAATCTTCTAGTTTACAACAGTTCTCCGCAACCCTTCACTGCGCCAGGCGGGGGCGCTGCACAGGCCGCCGCGCCCGGAACGGTCGCGTCGGTCCCCGTGCGTTGGCCAAACGCTATGAGCAGCATGACTGCCAGACGCATGCAACAGGAATCCTTTTGGGATTTAAGCTTTGTTTGTTACTCGGTTAGCTTACGTCGAATCGAAGCACTAAGATCTAACATTTGACTCTTCTCTACATTGGGGACCGATTTGCAACAGATTTTGCGCAAACGCGGTCATTGGTTTGCTAAAGGTTGATGAATTTTGCTAACTTAAATATCCAATGTCATGTTTATCAAACGCGCGGGAAGATGAATACATTTTATGTATTCAAAATCCATTTGAGCATCAAACGTTTGAGAGGATAAACACATCATGCGTTCGTATTCGTACCATTACATCTCAGAATATTTCCCTTACATCTCAGAATATTTCCCTTACATCTCAGCTTGTAGCCCTTGATCAACTTGGTTCGATATTTGTTTATTCTTCTTTGATTGGAAAAGAATTAAGAATAATAATCCCGGAGATTAAAAATTAAATAATGGCATCACCTCATCAAGTAAAAGTAAAAAGCTTAATAACATTTTACTGTCTTTTAAGGAAACGTTGCAACAAATCAGCGGTGCAACACTTTCGGCCGCTGGTAGATCACAAAATGCCGGCACCTACCGCCGCCGTCCAGCGCCCAGCGGCCGCCGCTGTCGTCCAGTGGTATGCCGTCGCCATTACAACTGCCCAGTGTTGCCAGTGCTGCCACTGCCGCTGCTGTATGCTACTGTTGAGTCGCTGCCGCCGTTGCTTCTGTACAGTGCTGCACCAACGCTCACCACGGCTCAAGCGAGGCTGCTTCTTAAGTTTGCGAGAGCACGATGGCCATCCCTCCGTTAAGGCAGGGGAGAAGCTCTTTTCTCTATTAGAGTAGATATATGTTATTTGTCACTGAAAACGTATGCACGAAAATCAGAAAAGTTTTCTGATCGCGATGTGGGACTCTATGATCCTACTCATCCAGTGGCCGCTTTTGGGGACTGAAAGGATTGGCGTGATGGTAATGACCGCCCACAACGCAACTAAAAGGTGCAAACGTGTGTGTTTCCGAAAAAGTGGCAGGTTTTGTCGTCAAAATGTGGAGTGCACCCATCTCGCTATCATTTCTGTCTTTAATTCATAAGAACCTAAATTTACTTCATAAAACGGAAACAACCACAACAAAAACTAAATGACCGGAGCTCGATCGGTGTTTTGGGGTGAGTGGAGGTCAAGCGGTGAAGGGAGTATTTACTTTCGCCTGTGCTTGGCGGCTGAATCGGCCATTAGGTGGCCCCCCCAAAACTTTTCAAGAAATTGACACCCCTGTAACTAATACTTAGCCATGGCCAACGGGTGGACGAAAATGATGACGCTTCTGAAAGACATGCCTTTGGGCAGCTTAATCGGTTATTGATAGCAATTATATAACGTAGTTTGGAGCATTTGCGCTCGCAAATCTTAGCAGCAAAACTTCGACGCCAGGCGTTACAGTCTTTGCAAGCAGCGCAGGGCCAGCCCACTGGCTAATATTGAGCTGTGGCCAACGGGTGGATAAACATGATGACGGTTTAGTACCTTTTTAGCTGAAATAAGTACCTTTGTACGCTTCAGGACACCAATTCTTGCCTTTGAAAGATAGTCTTGGTGTACATTTCATCGGCTCGATTTTGAGATTGATGATGAAATCGGATTGGGCTTAACAGCACCGTGAAGTGGTGCTAGAATCTGGTGGTGGATCTGCCGCTTCAGCTACGTCCCGCTGCGCAAAGGCAGAATCTCTGTTTTTCGTGCTGCTGTAGCTGCTATCCGGACAGATTAACCACGGCGCCCGCCTTCTAGTGTGACTTGCAGTGGCCAACGCCGTTCGGTTTTGGGTAAACTGCAATTCATCCATCGTAATCCAATTCATCCATCGTAATCCAGTTCATCCATCGTAATCCTCGCTCCTGAGATTGCGCTCACTCGCATTTCCGCAAATCTTCGAGCGCAAAAGTTGTTTGGACCATAGGCCCATCACTTGCATCCCACGCTTCCATCCGGCTCATACCGCTTAATTTGCACGTGCTGAAATGACACAGGGCCAATGTTAAGCTTAATCGGGTTCAGCTTCCGGGAACAACTCCTGGATGTCGTGGTCTGGCACCAGTAGCAAATCCGAAAGACGGGATTGCTGGCACTCGTGAGATTAGGTCTCGGGTCAAAAACCTCATCTGGCTATCGCCGAGCCCCCCCCCCCCCTCTCGATCCTCGAGCTCGATACGCCTGTGCATCGCCTAGCTGACTTCGCTGCCGCGTGGATCTGGCCTCTGTGTCAGAGACTGTACGGGCGCCGCGGTGCCGGGCGCCGTACCTGGCCGATTTAGGTTAATGTCGGGCCGGCCGGGCTGGCGTCTGTGCGCAGTCGAGGCCGGTGCGTTGGGGTGACTGTGTGCTGGTGGTGGCGGTCCGAGCTCCGACACAGACGCCGCCGATCGGATCAGCTCTGCTGACCAGGTAAGCCAGCCGCGCAGCACCAGATGATCGTGCACGAGCAAGGGGCATCCTCATCGCTGCTGAACTCAGTCGCCGTCCTCAGACGAGTGGCGGGTGGGGATGTGTCCTGGCTTGGGATATGGAGCATCCTGTACGGTTTTGTGTGTGTTTTTTTGCAATAGGGCATGCTCCGGCCCGCTGCCTTACCTTATATCATGTGACATGTCTCACGTCAAGTAACTACGGATTGGTAAAAGGCAGGTGATGCACAAATCTGTACGTGTCCCTTATTCATGGTCAAATATGCACCGTTCCAACAGCCATCATCTGAAATTTGACGTCATGCCACAATTTCCTGGGATCGTTCACTATGTGGGGCTTGTCACCTCAAATCTTAACTTTTGTTAAGAGAGAAGCTAAACGTATAGTTTTGATCCTCTTAATGCCACAACTGCGCGTGCAGCTACCATATCACCTCACCGCTTTTAATTCACTGCACTTCGTTGTTTTTCTTCTTTGGCTTTGTTAGCCGAATTACCCGGAGGCCTGCCTTTGATGGGATAAAATGACAGAAAAACAGCGTATTTCTTGCTCTCACGGAACCTGTGTCCTATTTTAAGACAAATTTGCTCAGTGTAACCCCCATCCGCCCCTTTTCCTCCATCAATGCGCCACTTATACCTTAATGGCGTCCAAAAAGCGGCATCAATGGGACTCCCTCGCCATTGGCACCAGACAGTACCCTAGTCGAGTCGTCGCGTCAGCCGCTGGAGCTGCCGACTGCGCTGCTCCTGGCCGCGCTCAGCGTCGACCACCTGCCGGCCACGGCGTCCGTTGCCATGTCGGCCGGAGCCGTGTGCCAGAAACGGGCGCCGCCGGCGGCCGCGTGGCCCACTGGAGTTGGGCCGCTGCCGCTGCCGCCGTCCGGCCGCCCGGCCGGCCGCAGCATGCGCAAAGTCATGGCCATCGCCGGCGGCCGCGCGCTGGCCCGGATATGGTCGGCGCTGCCGCTGCCGCCGCCGCCGCCATCCACTCGTCCGGGTGGTGCTGGTGGCCTGCTTGGCGGCACGGCCCAGGCCGGCTCTGTCGCCACGCAGGCTCAACAGAAGCGCTGACGGCAGCTGCTGACGGTAGCGCCAGAAAACCGCTTCAAAGGTGACTGGAATCGTTCTCAAGCAGGAAGTTCTGGACTGCTCGTTGTTGCAAGATGCCAAAAGTGGTGTGACACATTTTTAGGTCACTTTTTACACTGTTGGCGGAAGAAATGTCGCCTAATATTGGATAAGTCATTTTACTTTACGTACCATACCACCAAGTCCTTTGTAGCGCGTTTCACGCAAAGCATTTACGAAAGGATTTAATGTTTGTTGCAAGTTAGTCTGGAATACGCGGTGAAGACCATTGTCGCAACACAATTCACACCCTCCGTGTCCAACCATATGCCACGCAAACCGCTGCTGCCCATTCATATAACACCACCAATATATCCGATTGTGGCTCTCCACATCAGCGCGCCACCACAAGCGGTGAAAGCACGTCCGACGTGACGCAGCATACGGTCGGCCCCGTCGTGTCCCCGGCCGCGCGCCGAGAAGCGCCTCGCCGGCGGCGGCGCCGCCTGCTGGTCGCGCTCTAACGGTGCGCCGTCCTCCGACGCCTGCTGAGTCGCGGTTGGCGGGACTGACGCGGCGGCGCGCCGAGTCTGCTGACCCACTGCGGGCGGTTCCCGGGCCCGCGCCGCGCTGACCCCCTTGGCGCGAGGGCCGTGCAGGCAGACAGCGCGAGCCGCGGCCTTGTCGATGGCCGGGAGGGGACTTGGTGGATAGTTCGCGGCTGTTAATGTGGCATGAGTTACGTTCTGTGTTGTGCTTGAGGCTATGCACCATAAATGCCGCCCGGATATGACAGAAGCGGCTTATTGTGGCCGGCGATTGGTAACTGCCACTGATGAGGCACCGTGTGTTTCCTTGCCAAATATCTGCCTAATCCTATAGCACGAAGCACTAGCACCTTCCAACGTCAACGGTCAATAGTTATTTAGTGACCCCCGATTCTGGTCTGACCTGAGATCCATGACAGCTTTGCACAGTATTTCCTCTAGATCTTCAGGGATTGGAAACACTGCTATGAAATAGATAAAGTCAAGTTCCGTGACTTGGTACAAAAGTTTTGTTACCCTACATCGATCAGTGCAAAACATTTCATAGTTTGTCACCACGTTTCATCTCAGAGAGGCCAATCTGAGGATCTGTTCGTTAGTTCCATACACCATTTCGCACACTCCGTATCTGGCTGCGACTAGGGAACCGCGTCATTGTCGGCTGGTCCTGATCTACGCACCTCTTATCCGGGCCATCTTCCCTGCTGACGGGATCGGCCGATCGGTCAGCCGACGCACAACCCACCCACCGCCGGGTCAGGGGTCGGCCGGCCGAAGCAGACGAGCGCTGATGGGCTCCGGCTGCGGTTGGGCCCGCGTCGGCCGCTACGGCCTCCGGTCTCGGCCGGTGCTGCCCTACGGTCGTGTTACCGTTAGAGGGCGGCTTCCGGTGTCACGCATCGGGTGGGACGCGGCCCTCGCGGCGCCGGCGCCTGGCGAGACAGGCGCAGCGTGCAGGCTCTGGAGCCTGGCGCAGGCGCGGCCAACGCTGATGACAGGCAGAGTCCGAGGTTAGAGTGCCCAAAAACCTACAACACCATCTAATGCCGCGCGTGGCCACGTGCGCTTTTTCTCAACTATTGACACGTCTTGGCTTCGTGTCGGAGCTTTGCATCGTGTGCAGTTGAGTACATTCTGGCTAGCTGCTGCTATCCTGCATGCACGTTAGCAAATTGCTTGGAAAACAGTGTTAAGTTTTCCTTGTCTTTGCGGCGACCATGCAGCCGATTATAAACAAGCTCGTTGCGCGCATGGCCTTCGCTTCCAGAGTAGTGGCATGCAAAAGCACTAGTTCATATCACACAGAGATCTGTGGGTAACAGCATGCCCTGCAAACGCTTTGAACTCCCAAAATTTTGAGTTTGTGCTTTTCACAAAAACAAGCGCAGAACTTGCAAGAAACATTGCTATAACCAGAAACATTTACAAAACATATCATGCAGCAGTCCTGAATCCCAGTAGAAAACATACATTCACGACGAATTTAGAAAAAAAAAACATTCGGCTTATTGCATGTAACATAATATCTGGCGTTATCCTCGCTGCCGTGCTCCGTGATTGTGTCGATCTGTCCTGGATCCATATCGGCAGTGTCCAGCGCGAGGTCCAAACCTCCCTGGGTCACACCGGCGGTGTCTAGGCCGGCGCTGCCGCGGGTCTGCAGCGTTCAGATCGGACGGAGTGCGTCGCAGTCCTCGAGAGCTGGTGTTCCGATCCCACTGCGGTGCAGTCCCCGAGGGCTGGTGTTATACTTCAGCTGCGGTACAGTCCCCGAGGGCTGGTGTTATACTTCAGCTGCGGTGAGCTGCGGTGCAGTCCCCGAGGACTGGTGTTATGCTTCAGCGCGGTGCAGTTCCCCTAGGACTGGTGCTATACTTCAGCTGCGGTGCAATCCCCGATGGACTGGTGTTATACTTCAGCTGCGGTGCAGTCCCCGAGGACTTGTGTTATGCTTCGGCTGCGGTGCAGTCCCCTAGGACTGGTGCTATACTTCAGCTGCGGTGCAATCCCGATGGACTGGTGTTATACTTCAGCTGCGGTGCAGTCCCCGAGGACTTGTGTTATGCTTCGGCTGCGGTTGCAAGTCCCCGAGGACTGGTTGTCACGCTTCAGCTGCGCGTGCAGTCACCCGGGTCCGTGTCACGCTTTAGCTGCGGTGCAAATTCTGGCCCGTGTCTGGCTGGCCTCCTGACATGTACGTCATGGATTCATGTCGTCGTTTCATGGATTTGCGGAATCCTGTACAGTTTTCTTGGTTCGCCCAAAAATATTCGATATTTCCATTTCCGACGCGACGCATATTATATCTTGAATGAAATATATCTAAACAGCCCTGAATCGGCGTAGGTTCTTAAGACGGATGTGAAATTCGTTGCCAGTAATATCATGGCGTAATAAACCGTTTGCGGAATGTAATTTCCGGTAGCAGCCCGCCAACCCAACGCGCAATGAGTGGCTACATTATCAGTCCGTCGTCGTGCTACCGGCTCAAGCGCACCACACTCCGTCCCACAACTGCCACCGAGCAGTCCCCCTCGTCCACACGAGCGTGACAGGCGAGGCCGAACATGAGCCCACGGGTAGCCACTTCACTGAGCCAGCTCGACTGACCTATCAGGCCCGTCGAGCCGATATGGCTGCCCCATCGGGCTAAACGTGTCCCGCGCCGCCGTCTCGTCGGACCGGACGCCGGTCGGCGGCCATGGCAACCGCCTCCGAGCACATCTCATGGCAGGCAGGCCCGAAGGAACTTGCCAGACTGGAACAGCCAGGAAACCGGACAACTGTCGGCTTAGCGTGCTCTGTTCTTGACGAGGCCTCGACCGCGGCCGTTTACGGCCGGGGCCCTGCTTGCCCCACTAAGCCAAATAGGGGGTGTTAATGGAGTCGACAACGCGAATCTTCCAGCTATGTGGGGGTTCCAACCTTTCCACGCATCTTTGCTCAGAAGTGAAGTCATTAGACAATTATCGGCAGCTGTCCATGTCGATAACAGTAATTATTGTCGGAACTAGCGTCACAACAAGCATGCGAGTTGTCTTGTGTTGATGCCACCAACGTTAGTTATGTCCCCCCTCAATGCGTCTAATTTTATGAAAACGATGTGCCATTCCCTCGAAACGACCGGAGCTCTTTGGAACGTCACCACTATGATGGCGGATGCTCTGGGTGCTTCCTTCTTCGCTTGCACCGCTGTGGTCGAGCGGCCCTGACTGGCTTTGGCCGTCGGCCTCGGAGCAGCACGAAGCAGACACGGTGCCACCACCACGCGCGGCCGGACGTGCCGGTTCCGGCGAACCTCAATAGGGGGCTGGTGTATTGCACCGCCTTCTGGCCCCTATCCGACCTTATCCATACACGCTCTCTCCTCGCTCACTTATCTCACCCAAAGCGACCGGCAGCCCACCTGTGCAAGCTCTCTGCCCCCAGCCGCGCGTCCTCCTCGAGAGCGAGCCTGGTGCCGCCACTGCGCGCACCCACACGGCCCGGCGTATGTGGGTCAGCCGAGAGCGAGACTCTGTTGTGATGACGGCGTGGCGCGGGAAAGCCCGGCGCCGGACCACCCCTCGCCGTCCGGGACCTTGCCCGTGCGGTGCCGCGCTTTTTGTGTCAGCCACCCACCGGCGGCTGTGAGATTGGATGGCGGTCGGGGAGGCGCAGCGACGCTGGTTAGTGCCGTCATATCTGGCCTGGGGTCAGTCCGGAGTGACTGATGGGGTCATGGTTGGCGGGAGTGTCACCCAGTGATGCACAGATGGATCGGCGGTGAGGGCAGTAGCTTATGAAAGGGGTTTTTCTCATGCCGTTAGGTTCCGTTCAGTCCGGTTTGGTTAGCCTCAAAGACAAGATCAGCGTATCATATCCGCGTGCCTTCTCTTAATTTCAGTCAAAAACTGATATGCCGGTCGCAATTATTATAATTATTTCTTCTGCAACGTTCACAATGGCGTCGCAGCCGGATATTTGAAGCACAGTTCGCCGTTTGCCATTGCCGTAAAACCCCACGCTGCTTATGGTACACGGCGTAATTCCGACCAATCCGATTTCTGGGTGGCATTGGGACGCAGGCGGCCTAGGATAGGGGCAGCGCCTGCCCCTGGTCGACGGTGGTCGTCGCCTTCCATGCCAGGAGGTTGTCCGCACGGTTTACGCGAGGGCCCAGGACATGTACCCAGTCCAAGGAGCCCGACTGTGGCCCATCCGAAACGCAGCCCCCTCGCCTCAGCCACGCTTCTACGAGATTGCAGCCTTAAGTCGACGCTGTCTCGTGTGCCGCGGCTCTGTCCGACCGGCTATACACCACGCATGACCTGCCCCGCCTCCGCTGACCCCATATCGTGGAGACTCGGAGTGGCGCGGGTCACGTGCATGTCAATGAAGCGGCCGGGCACTCCAGCGGGCCGTCTCAGTGGCGTACGCGGCGCCTGCTGACGGGCCGGGCGTGCATGTGCGGCGATCCTCCCGGAGCCTCGAACAAGTGCTGGTTGTTCGCCACCCGGTTGTGCTGTGATTGGGCGGGCCGACTCACTGGTTTGGCCACACGCTGTGCATATGCACCGCTGCGGGATCCACCTGACTCAATGGCGTGCGGCCCCGCGTGCGGGCTCTGTGTTCTGATGCTGGCATGCATCAGTCGACCATCGGGCACGGCCTCCGAGCGTTTTGCTCTGGTAAGCTGTCGGCATCTTTTACAGTTCGAGAGAGCGCTGCTGAGATTTGCGACTGTGGTGCCAGCTATGTGAGGGATTTCCCAGAAACATCTTATCCCTTACTGCAATGGAGACGTTGAGACCACCGCAAAAGATGTGAGGAAATTTTAAGCTTGGTTGGTTCTGCTGCCGCCGGGCGAGACAGGTATACCATCAGCTCTAAGAGGACGAGAAAGGCTACATTAATTTGGCATCGAGCCCTCAGATTGAGGATACACATTTTTTAATGAGATTTAAAATTAAACTTTGGATTGGTCGATGACAGAAGACCATCTTTGACTAAAAAATAATGTTTCATGAAAAGGGAGACCATGTTTATGTGAATTATAGAGATAAGTGGGATGAAATAAGACAAAATTATAAAAAAAAACTTTTCGAGCTGAAACTAAAGCGTAAGTAGTCCAAGCTCCTGTATCAAGTACAAATTCTCTCAGAATGCCCCTCCCTCAGTTTTTGTGAAACGAGGTCACGTATTCCGTACTCTGTCAATATCATATGACCTCTATGCTTGCAGGATGATGCTTCGGTCGATGGCCAACCACCTAGGCTAGTGCCGGCAAGCAACAAGTACAGGTAAGCAAACCGTGGCCGTTGTTGGGAGCCTGTCCGCTTTCCAATCTCCTGTCACCAGTGCTCATTTCCTGTCGACTTTCCTGTGGTGTCTGGATCTAGTGCTGGGGCGGCAGTCGGCATGCGACAGATTCTGGCACGGGGTAGGAGCAGGCCATCACGGGATCTGGTACCTGGTGGCGGCCGGCGTCACGGTCTGGCACCTGTGGCGGCCGGCGTCACGGATCGGGGCACCTGGTGGTGGCCGGCATCACAGATCTGGCACCTGGTTGGCGCCGGTGTCACGGATCTGGCACGGGGTAAGGGAGCCGGCATCACAGATCTGGTACCTGGTGGCGGGCCGGCGTCACGGGTCTGGCAACTGGTGGCGGCCGGCGTCACGGATCTGGCACCTGTGGGGGGCCGGCATCACAGATCTGGCACCTGGTGGCGGGCCGGTGTCACGGATCTGGCACGGGGTAGGAGCCGGCATCACAGATCTGGTCCTGGTGGCGGCCGGCGTCACGGGTCTGGCACCTGGTGGCGGCCGGCGTCACGGATGCTTGCACCTGGTGGGGGCCGGCATCACAGATCTGGCACCTGGTGGCGGCCGGTGTCACGGATCTGGCACCTGGTGGGGGCCGGGCATCACGGATCTGGCACCTGGTGGCGGCCGGCGTCGCGGATCTTACACCTGGTGGCGGCCGGCGGTCACGGATCTGGCACCTGTTGGGGCCGGCATCACGGATCTGGCACCTGGTGGGGGCCGGCATCACGGATCTGGCACCTGGTAGCGGCCGGCGTCACGGATCTGGCACCTGGTAGCGGCCGGCGTCACGGATCTGGCACCTGGTGAGGGCCGGCGTCACGGATCTGGCACCTGGTGGGGGCCGGCGTCACGGATCTGGCACCTGGTGGCGGCCGGCATCATCCATCTGGCACCTGGTGGGGGCAGGCGTCACCCATCTGGCATAGACTGTGCTTGGCAAGTCGTACATTTGCTATCAACCTTAATATAAACATAGATGTGCTTTATGGTATTTGTAAATTAGGAAAGATTATCATGGCGTACGCAACGTGTTCGGATACCGGAACAGCCATATATTTCATGACCTTCCGGATCCTACATTACGCTGAAACTTATTAAGATTCAATCATCTTGCTACAGCGCAGTCCGCGGGCTTTTTAACCACGACGCTCTGATTAAAGCCGCAAACCCTTGGTCGCGCCATAATTTTCCTATTGTCGGCCTGACCATAATCTGTCTGTTCCATCCATGACCAGATCTTCCAGTGGCAAGTCCTACCAGGTAAAATTTGCAGCAAAAGAGGAAAACGAGTCATTTCCTGGTCACACCTGTGGCGCTGGCCACTGCCGGCAGTTGCTCTGAGCCATGACACAGAGGTCAGACCGCAGCGACAATGACCGCCGTGCAGGGTGCAGGAAGCGGTCTAACGGAAGTGGGGCACCTGCCAACGGTCTCCGTTTGGAGCGCCGGCCTGGCATGGGGACCGAGCGTCGAGCCCTGCGCGTGATAGACGTGCGTGCGTGCCGTCTGCTGCTTTAACTGTTTGCATGTTTCGCCCGTTTTACTGTCATTTTGCTGGCATAGCTTCGAGTTCAAAGGTTATCGCAAGGACCTATGGACAAACGGTGCTTCATGAGTTAGTGCACGCGATTTCTTTGATCTGTCCTCTCCTGCTCCGCTTCACACATACCGGAGGCAGTTAAGATTCTGGGCCAGCGTGGCACCACGATTACGCAATAACTGACTTAATCACGGGCTGTGATGGGTCTAAAATCTGACTGCGACGGGGAGGCCGGCAATGGTGCTTCTGCTGCTCTGCGTCTGGTGCCAAAAGGCGTCTGCGTCGTTTTCCGCTGAGTCGGAAAGTCCGCAAACACCTCGTCAGTCCTTCCAACGCTGTGTTCTAAATGAATCAAGAGCCTTTTACTATTCCGACACGTTTGCCCTAGCTGTCTCATTTCGGTCATGCACTTCCGAACCAACCCCACGTCATGCTTCCGCATTGCAACCTTGTCGGGATGCCTTCGAGGCACCGCGTGGCGTTTTCGCGCCTCGATCTGTTCATGAAACGCTCGTTTCCAACACAGACGCGTCGGCCGCCGGCGGGCAACCGCCCAGCCCGGCGGGGCAGTGCCACTGGAGACAATCGTGGCGCGCCTAAACGCATGGCGACACGGCGGCGCCGGCAGCGGCGGTCGGCGTCCGCCGGCGAGTTTCACTCGGAGAGTTTCCCCGCGCTGACCCTGATAGCTCCCCAGCCGTGGCCGGTGTCGGGCGCGCGCCAACTTTTTACAAGGCGCCTCCACCGGACGGATCGCAGTCTGGAACGGCGTTTCGCTTTCGGATGTCGCGAATTATTGTTTTGGGGGGTTTTGATGCGTGAAGTGATTCACGCCCCATTTAAGCTCACATGACGTTCTCAAAAAGTGGAGCGTGGCGGGTGCTTGGCGGCTTCGGTAACGACCCTTGTCATTCGGCCCTTATGCATCCAGTTCCGTACTTGAACTTGAGGGATGGTGGCCGACAAGTAAAACTGAAGCGCACAACATTGCTACTTCAGATCGTTTATCTGTTTTGTTTTTAGAAAGCTTGTGGTCGTGACGAGGGTCAAGAGAGGCATTCGCTTACGCGTGCATTTCAACGCGGTTTTTTGTGTGCTTTAAACTGGCTGTGATATACTGATCTAATCGGACTCACCGCAGGCGGTTGGTCCTTTGTTAGAGCTACGTGGGGTGATCGTTGTCAAAATATGTCGGGCCTCGCTTATCTGTTATCTGTCAATAATGTTGTCAAAACTCACCCTCCTCCGTCCTCGTCCATCTTCCTTCTACCCGTCTGACCCCTCCTCCCTCACGCTGACCAGAACGAGTCCATCCGCTTCTGTTATTCTTGGCCCTTCGCCCTTTTGGACCTGTGGTCGCTCTTTCTGTCGTAGTTAACTGTCGAGCCGTCCGTTTCAGAAGCGGTCTTCAGCTTCATGACTTGAAACATGGCCGCGTCCTCGCCACCCGAATGGTGTGGCCTTTAAACGCCGCGTCGCACCCCCTCCCCTGCCCTTCGCCGCTCAGGGTTGAACGGGCGCGCGTGCTAGTGGGCATCGCCCGCAGCCGCGCTTTCCTTGAGGCCAACGTCCGGCGCTTGAACTCAGTATTCTCGGTGTGTCGAACTTCCGGGAACGGACCCTGTAGACAACGGCATCGTGCGAATATTTTTTTTTCTGAATGTAAGACTTTCGTTGAGGGGCGTTTTTCTAAAGTAAAGATAAAGAAATCATAAGCTTTGTGCTACTGATGCGACGGCACAGCTGGGTACCTAAACGGCTGACGTCCAAGAACTGATGTCATTTGGCTCGTGTACGCCCCTTTCTTGGAACCAGTGCGCCAACCGAAAAGCATTGCAATAAACACAGCAGCGGTCTGTGCTATGAAATCGAAGACTGCAGCTCGCTACACGAAAGAGATTCAGCCAGCTCCAGCTCCCGGAAACATCCATCATCACGTGTGGCTGATATGACAGCCATGTTCTTGATTCCTCCTGCGATCCTGCAATCGATCAGGCTAGGTCATGAATAACCCGTGTATTTAGCTTCTACCTCTGGTGCGTTGTAATTTCCAGCGCCTCTCCAGCCAGCGTCTGGCATCACTTTCCATTGGCAGCCGGTCGCCTTTTCACCCAGCGGCCCGACCGGTTGGGGCCCATCTGGGCTGCAGGCAAGCCTCAGCCGGATGCTGGGAGCTGGGAGCTGGGAGCCGGAACTGCGCGCCCGGCAGCGTCTTCTACGTTTCCGGGAGACGGTGCTTCGAGCCAGCTCTCGCCGATCTGCAAAGCATGCAGTTTTCTAGGCAGTGGGGCCTCAGAGACATAAATTGGCGGGATGACAGAATGAGCTTGACCATGGCGTGCCGGCCGGCTGACGACCGTCGTGTGCTAACGGTGTCTGCGTTCCCTCAAGCCCAAAAATGGCTCACCGCGTTTGGCACCTGGCTTTGGTCTGTGCTTTTTACACGACGTATCCAGCAAATTATTCGGACAGTTCTGGGTGAAAGCTCACGTGAAATGCTTCTACATCAAAGAGCATTGCTCCATTTAATGATGCTGATGGACCAAACAGGAATCATCCCGCACATTCAAAATTTGGCTGATGATTGTATGACGTCCTGGCTCATAAATCTGGCTGATGATTGCATGACGTCCCGGGTCATAAATCTTACTCGTCTTTGATTCCGTATTTTATCTGACACGCGTGCACCTCGAGCCCCTTTGCTTTCTTCGGTGACGTTCTTGCAGTCGGGGCACTCCACGTGTGAACAAATTTTGCACACAGAAGATATAGCGTGTCCTTGGCTGCCCATCGTGATTTCCTCGAAGTGGCGTGAGCTGCTGGCGCGGCGCCTCCTCGCTGCACGGGGTCCTTGATCTTGGACGTGGAATTTCGCTGGAAACCAGGAACAGTTCAATGCCCGGCCGGACACAATGCCGTCTGGCCTTGATGATGCGTCATACCAGTTGACTCGATGCAGGAAACACATGCGTCTAGCCGGCTTTAGCTGGCTCGCTGCAAAAGCTGTGGGCCATGCACGCACGAGTTGCACCTTTCATGGCTGCCCGGTTTCCGTGCTCTTGGTAGCTGGAGAGCGCATGCTGTTTCCAATAGTCACGCTAATCTGTGACTTATGTTTATGCATATGCATATGTCTGCTCTCTGCAAGATGCTAGAGACCACGTGCGTCTTGCCAGCAAAATAGGATCTCATTGTTTGTCAACACACGGTGATCGTATATTCCGCATCTTTGGTGGCGCCATGATGTATGAATTTGCCGGATGATATATACGCATACGTTAATACAGTTTCACCAGCTCATGACCCCGATAATCTGTCAGTTTTACGGGCACGTTGTTTTTCAAAATAAGGCATGCGACACTGCCAACCAGTTTCCTCTGTTATCGCCTGTTGTGTTCAACGACTGGGAAGCTCTTTTGTGTGCAGGGACAATCAGTTTGTGGCCCAACACACTTTAAATCCAATTTTTGGTCACATCCGCTGAGAAGAGCCTGCTAAGCAGCTTTGTGTTAATGAAAGTACCAGGTTATGTTCAGGTTAAACAGCATAGATTCGGGTACCTAATTAACAACAACAACAATATCCAGAGCATAGTATGCGAGCGTGTGTATGCTCTTGCACATATTGCAGAGTGTTTGTCTTTAAAATGTCGATTTAAATGTTTCTGGCTTGGTAGAATTCCCGCGATACATGCTCTTTTCGTTTGCATTACTTCCGCATTTAAGATCATCTTAAGAGGAGCTCAAATACAACGGCTGGCATAGACAAGAAACTGGAACAACATCTGCATCCCCAAGGCCGTGCCTTTGGACAGCTCATGATTCGCACTTCCTTTAGACCACAAAAAGGACGCCAATAACTGGCCCTCGTCTGATGAACGCTTGGGCCGACGGCGTCCACCGCGCGCCCTCCCCGCTAACTGGCGCCCTTGACATGACGCCCACCTATTGCAAGCCGCTGAGTATGCTGATCGCTGGTGACCAGGTCGGCTGGAAGTGGTCCACTGAGCCGGCCGCCTCGCCATGAAGCTGTATCAGCAGACGTCGCCCGACTGCGTGCAGGCTTGGACGCGGGAGGACTTCGGCTTCAGCGGCGACGCCAAGGCCGGCCTCGCCACCAGCCTCGAGCACATCTTCCCGCCGCAGTCGCCGGCACCCTCGTCGTCCACCGCCTCGTGTGCGGCCTCCTCCAGCTTCACAGAGCTGAAGCCGGTGCCACCGCTCAAGGCGCTAACCCAATGTGACTATGTGGGGAGTTCGGGTGAAGCGGCCGGCTCGCCGGGCTACTACCCGGCACCCGAACCGGGTCCCGGCACGCCTGAGGTGGTGTCCACCACCACCAGCGGCATGGGCGAGCTAGGCGAGTCGGTAATGATGAAGCCTGCCGAGCCGGGCACGCTCGAGACGTTCCCGGCCGCTGACATGGCCGACGACGACTTCGCCGCCATCATCGGCAACGCCATGGTCGACCCGCAGCTGGTCGTGCCCGAGAACATGGACCTCGGCAACTTCACCAGCTCGGACATGCACGACTTAGAGGCGTGGATCGATGGCCAGTCGCAGGCGCAGCTGCAGCGGTACGGCGCCGCCAGCCAGGCGCACACCGCCGCCGTCCACCCGGGCCTGCCGTACAGCGCCGCCAGCCCCATGCTGCAGAACCTGCTGTCAGGCCACAGCTACGCGCCACCGCGCACCGCGCACCCGCCTGGCTACGGTAGTCTGCTGCAAGGCGGCCAGCTACACCAGCGCCTGCAGCGGCCGTTGGCCACCTACAGCCCGCCCAGCTATGCGGCCAGCGGCGGCGAGACTCTCGCGCAGCAGGCCGAGTCGGGCACCAGCGCCAAGAAACGGCGCGCGCTTGCGCGCTCCTTCATCAAAATGTCGATCGCATCGGAGGGCACCAAGGACCGGCCTATGCACCGCTGCACCATCTGCAACCGCGGCTTCCTCAACAAGAGCAACATCAAGGTGCACCTGCGCACGCACACCGGCGAGAAGCCGTTCAAGTGCGAGACGTGCAGTAAGGCGTTTAGGCAAAAGGCGCACCTCATCAAACACTATCACATCCATAAGCGCATCAGCAGGGACTGACGTGGTGGCCATGCGGTGGGCGCGTTCGGACCCGGTGGTGCGCGTGAGTGGTGCGCGCGCACATCGATCTTTCAAGGCTGGCCACGGCCGCCGCGCCGCGCCCGGAGAAAGCCGCAGCGACCTACTGACGGGTCAGCAGCGGCGTGACTTCCCGTGTCGCCACGCCGCCGCCCGGCATGCCGGGAGATGTCCCACCGACCCCCTCCCCCGCCTCACAGTCACCCACGGCCCCGCTTCCGGGGCACGTTTGGACCAACTTCCGGTTTGCGTGGCCGCCGCCGAACCGGCTCAGCCCAGCCCGACCCGGTGCGGCCGGCTGGCCGACCGGCGACAGCGGTCTGGTTCGCATGTGGGTCAGTTGGATCCGGAGGGCTCGTATCTAGGCCGATGCCCTGCACGGCCACAACACGGCTGATGCGCATGCGCAGAACGCGGCGACGAGCGGGTCAGACGCCGGGCGGAAGACAGGAGGTGGGATTCGTAGGGTGATGGGGAACAGGGGTTAGTCACGGACCGTGACATGCGCTAAAGACACATGTCTCACAGGAGGATGTTTAAGTCGTGGCCTGAGCGGCTGTCAGCAGGAGGGACCCCTGCCTCTTGCGAGGTGCTTTCTGGCACGTACTTCAACTGCGATCGCGGCTGAAGCCTTGAAGAAAAGCAGTATGCTGTGTCTGGACAAAGCCACTGCAGCTTAAGTTTGTATCTTGGCTTGGAAAAGTTTATTCTAATCGGTTGCACGCTCTGCACAAAGCCCCGCACAACCATCATCCTACTGCAACGCGCCGTTTCAGCTGTATCATTTTCGTCTGCCGGCTGGCGCGGAGTGGCTCTGGAATCAGATGGGGTCGGTGAGGCGCGCGCAAGCATTCCGGCCAGTGCTGGCATCCTTCATGACTCGCGGTGGAAAGCCGTTGTCCCAGATAACCGTAACACTTCTGGCCGGCGGGTACGCTGCGCGCGCGCGCGCGCGGGCAGGGCGGCGGCAGCGGCGCCGAGTGGGCCCGCAGCTGCCCACGCCGGCGACGGTCTGGAGTCACCCCTGTCGACCCACGGTCGACCCCGCGGCGGCCGGGGTAAGGCGGCCCGGCACCGGGAGGACTCGAACGGCACTGCGACGCGGACCGCACTTGTTCTAATCCAGGTCAGCCAACAAAGGCAGGCGAGTGACACAGAAACGCGCTGCGTCTCGGCGCAACGGTCAGTTGCGCCCCGTAAGTGTTCTGTCGTTGAGCTACCGTCAACAGAGCGCACAAAAAATGACGCCACACATCCACCGCGACTTCGGGACAACGCAGGATTGGCGAGTTATTGCGACTGGAGCTGGTGGCTGGGCCAAAGCATGCAGTCGTGCATTTGCGGGGGTTTCCCTCCTGCTGAGGTCGCTGATGGTCAGCGGGGGCGATGCCGGGTGAGAGGGACCAAGGGGCCGAGCCGTTGTGATAGGGGCCAGGTAACGCCCCGCCCACCCAAGGAAGCGCCCTTGGGCGCGCTGAATGACATAACAACTCCGTCCTGATCGGTACAAACGAGGACGGGTGGGCGATGCAATCACTGACAGTGCCCGCCCCCCGTCTGTTGTTAACTTGTTAAATTACCGTCGTCTATTTATACTGTTGTTGCTGACTCCACTGTAGAATCTCTTCGAGTGTGTATGCAGTGTTTGATCGGTGATGTGTGACCTCCCACCGGTGGGCCGGGTCACTTTGCATATGCATGTGTGTTTGTCGGTGCTGTGCGCCGATCTCTTGTTGATTTTGTTGTTGCAATGCCAGGAGTGATTTTACTCTTGGGTCCAGATAGCGTAGATGCTTCTTCCAAGCAGTGCGATGTGTTCTTGTGACGGCTCAGCTCTGAACATTGCACGAGGTCTCAGATATTTGTGCTCTGAGTGGTTTTGCGGTCGCCTCAATTTAGTCACAATGTGTTCATAATACATGCGAAAGAGTAGCTTTTGTAATACAGAGTAGTTTCCGGGCGGAAATATTGACCTGTTTCGATGGCGCTGCGTGTTTCATTCTTCTGGCGTCCTATCTATCATTCTCCCTTGTTGTTTTTCCAGCTATAGCTGTATGGTTGTGGAGACGCAGGAAATGTGCGAATAAAAATCAATTTTAGACAAAAACCTTGGTTTGATTCGGCATGCAACACCTTTATCTCTGAACTCTCTCCTTGTGTTGTGCTTTTCATATCTTTCTTAAAACTATTTTGCTTGGTTCTTCACCGCCCCAAAACTGTTCGCTGTTCTATTGCTCGTGAGTTGATCATGAAAGCAAGACCTCCCGAACTTTGACACAATTTCCAGGCACCATCATCTGTGACTTTGGGCCGGTGTGTGGGAATGGACTTTATTTCGATCACAGTTTACTTCGCTCTTAGTCTTGCTCATGTGCTTTTTCCTGGAACGGAATGGCAGAGCAATTAGGTACTACCTGTTTTATTGTCTTCCTTTGCTTGATTCCGAAAATCCTTGCAATATACGCGCAGAAGGTTTTGCAGGTGAGCAAAAGAATGTGATCGGCGAACGCAAGGTGAGAAGGTGAGTTCTCATCCATCACCATGTTCTGAAGAAAGGCGTGGCACATTCACCGGTGTGTGTCAGCTGTAAGTTGACATCAAGCCAAGAAAATAGAATCAATGCAGTGTGTCATTGCTGTCTTGTTCAATGTTCCTGACACTTAATCATTGCGCGGCCCACATGTGTCGTCCGTGTCATAGGACAAGACAATGCTGATGTTCCTGTAAGCAATGGATCAGCTCACTGTGATGTTTGCGGGTAGTGATATTGCGCGTGTGCTGTTCTCGCGCACAAAACTGTAAGGATGTACCAATTATAATAAAACTAGAGGTAGCAGTCTCGTGTCATGTCATTTCGTCAAAAGTGCATCATGCGAGTCAGAGGATGGCTTATGTCAAAGGGAAGTGAGATGCCAAAGTCAATGCGCGCATCACTTTTGATGGCACATAGCGAGCAAGGAAATTAAATGGTAAGCACGAAGTTCGGTAGCAAGTGGCTTGCGTGTCAGCCCGCATATATATATATATATATATATATATATATATATATATATATATATATATATATACGTATTTTCCTGCATAAACGCAGGATCATGATCATGTGTTATGTATACTTGAAGTAAGACAATGAAAATAAAAACAAAGAAGATTAGAATACAAAACGATATGGATGGGCTGAATCTCCGAGGCAATATATTTACCCCAAGGTCAATATTCTACATATTCAAGCACGCGTCATCTTTCAGTCAGTACACGATGCACCAATCACTGCAGAGGCCAGCAGATAGCAGCCCTGACTAAGCCTAGGTCACTGGTGCCGTCACCAGTTGTCCTGACCTTACAAGTCCGACACGCCACTGCCCATTAATCTTTTCCGGTATCGAATCCCAGTTTCTGGGACGCCGCTCCAAGGCTCTGGTCTGGATCAGCCATGAACAGCACCATCATTGGTTTCCCTCGGACGCAGACCCCTGGCACCGCAGCTGGTGTGTCTCCTACTTCGGTCTGATGGTCATACAAAGTTCTCCGATATATGGTTTGAACCTGTTAAACTGGTGATATATTGACGCCACCATGTCAAATATATCGCATATTGCCAATGGAGCTTTAGGACGCACTCATCTGCGAAGGCTTTATGTCGTCACTTGCCTCCCACTCTGGCAGGAAGGGCGGGCAACGCAAGAAATCGAATTTGGTTTTCCAGACGCGCATCTTAACCACTTCACTACCGCCACCCCAGCTCAGATACCGTGAACCTGAAACTTAAATTGCAGATCAGACAGAAGTAAAAGCGTTCTTTTCCGCGGTAAAAAAGACAGGAAAATGGAGAAATATATATGTTGATATTTCGGGAGCATGCCTTTTTCGAAACGAATAGCAGCAATAGATTCAAAATTGCCTGCCGATGATCCTACTGTGTTTTTTTTCAGTTTTTGTTCTTTAATCAGTGGGCCACAGTTTCTACAGGTCACCAACAATTAGGAAATTACACAAGGGGCAGTTGCCAGCCATTTCAACGATCCAGTGCATATCTAAGAATTGGAAAAAGAAAAAAATCATGTAAATGCCAACGAGTTTAGGTTGGCAGGTATTACGCATTACGCTTCATCCAAATGTGTAAGCGGTTTCAAGTACACAAGCATCACATATTGCGCATTACTTATCCATGCAAGCGATTTCAATTAAACTGGCATCGCGCATCACGCGTCAGGCATTGCTCATACACGTAAACAATTAAGCTACCACGCATCACACATCAAGGCACTTATCAAGTTCGCATAATCGGCCGTGGTAAGCCCTGAGCGTTACGTTCTTGTCCTCAGCTCTTCATAGGAATAATTGACTTATTTTCTTGCCTAGATGGCCTTGTGCTCTGTAGATGACTTTGAGCTCAAAAAGAAACACAGGGTCCATATCTTCCTGGGTTTCAGCCTGAGCGTGTTTAGTCATAAAAAGGTCACAGAAAGGGCATTCTGTTTTATTTTTAGTTTCTCGCAAGTGTTCATTATATACAAAACAAATAGCGCATTCACTTCCCGGTATGGACCATGTCTCCAATTTTTTTCACACAGTCGACACGTAATTTCATGAGCAACGTTCAAAGGGTCTGCACGCAAAGAGCACGGTTTACGAAATTCAGTTTAAACTGTATGTAAAACATGGGATGTCTATTTCGGGGAGTTCATACGCCCTGAGCGTTTGAGATACAATGAGCACCTGCACGCTAAAATAAAACAGAGAATACACCTTTCGGTGGCCTTATTTTTTTTTGGCTAGCTATCCTCAGGCTGAAATTGAGGGAAGTATGACCATTATGCCCGTTTTAGAGCTCAGTCACCTACAATGCACAGGATTATACGGACAGGAAATTAAGTAAATCTTTTCTTATAAAAGGTCGGCGACCAGACATACAGGCCAGGGCTCATACAGGGCTCATCGTGGCCGATTATGTGAACGTGATGTGTGATGCGTGTTAGCTTAACCGTCTGCGTGTGTGTGTACCCGTATATAATTGCCCGTAGTACGTGCAACCATCTACGGGCAATTCCTGACGCGTGATGCGCGATGCCAGTTTAATTCAAATCGCTTGCATCGATAAGTGATGTGCTATGTGTGATGTCTGTTTATTTAAAATCACTTGCATATTTGAATAAAGCGTAATGCATGGTGTCTGTTTATTTGAATTCGTTGACATGTACACGTATTTTTCGCGTATTCTAATTCTTAGATGTGCACTATTATCATAGCAATGGCTGGTAGTTGCTCCTTGTTTTATCTCCTGAATGTTGGTGACCTTAAACACGCGTCCGGGTGGCCGGTTGGACACCATTCCCCCCATGGGCGTAGGAACAGGGGGCCAGGGAGGCCATGGCCCCCCGCTTTCCAAGGAGGGAGGCCAGCAATGTTAACCGCCCCCCCCCCCCCCACACACTTTTCAGATTAAGGTTGCATTTGGCCTATTTTTGCACAGCATTAAACATGCATGCCGATTTGCCCAGTTCATCAGCCATCTCCCTTCAGATGCGTCATCTTTTTCGTTTGACCATTGGCCATCGCTCAGTGTTACAGCCACAAGGCCGACGCCGCACGGCCTGGAAACTGCAACGCCGGGCGTCGAGGCTGTTATTGCTATGACTTGCGAGCACGCAGGTTCAACACCATATTACGTACCTTTCTTATCAGTGATCAGCTCTGACAGTATATTGAGCATTATAAGACGAACGTGGGTAGCCATGTTGATACAAATTATGAACCCCATTTCATCTGCAATCTACAGTCACGGAGAACTTAATATCTCTGAGGAGCGTAGAAAAACATGGAACTGCAGTCTATGTGAAAACTACCGGACTGCCTGCGGTGATCAGGGATGTTGTTGCGTCAACAAGGGCCACTGTGCTGATTCAGGGCTAGCTGTGCGGATCCGAAGGCCTCCCGTGTCAGGAATGGGAACAATGTGGTATGATATATCCTTCTAATGACCTCCGGATGGAGCAAGAGATCCCGCCCCGTGCCACTAGAATGATAGCCAGAAGACACTTCGTGATGGGACGGAATGGCCCTTCAGCCCTTAACCGGAAACGGTAATGTACCCCTGGAGTTCCACTCAAGAAGCCCCTTGCCTGGAAGGGAATAAAGGGTCTCATTATTGTTGAGTAGAGTGGGGCTGTTATTATTGTGCAGGAACCGCGCTATACATCTTCCATGGCCTTCTTAGAGGTCAGGGTAGGTCATTGACCTAAAATTGACCCAGGTCAACATTTTGTGTTAGGAACATACCGCCTAGCGAAATTTTTGTCACTCGGTGAAATACAAAACTCAAAGCAATCTTGTATAATTTTGTCACCTTGACCTTCAAAAGGTCCAACAAGGTCACTGACCTTAGATGAACGTGAGAACTTTTGCTTAGAAACGTTAACTAGATTCTGGGGCTTTTTCAAGACCCCGCGGAGCCCGCGCTTCCTGCCAGGGTGAGAGGCAGGCGACGCCATATAGCCTCAGCAGCTGAGTGCCTCGTAAAGCCCCAATAACACACACACAGACACTTTGGAGACCAGCCTGGAACTTGACCTTGTTTGACCATTTTTGACCCAAAGGTCATAGCGTAGGAGCCTGAAACCTTGACCTAAGTGAGTTCTCGTACAGGTCAATACGCCCTGCAGCTTTCGTGTTTCTAGCTTTCTTAGTTCCCGAGATCTCAGGGGAGGGGGAGGGGGCGTTCAGATTGACCCCCACTCGAGCGAAAGGTATCTAGCCGGCCACCCGGGCGCGTGTTAAAGCGAGAAACGTCCCTGCCGGCCAATTGTGAATGCCATTAGAACATTTTCATCCATCCAGACTTTACGCACTCGACGACATGCAGGTTGGCACGAATGAAAATGGCGCGAACGATCAGCTGATCGGCTGAAGCAACCGATGACCGTAACCGCGCA